TTTACGACTGTGGCCAGACTGAGCTCTAGAAAAAGAAGCAAGAAAATATTCTATTTGCATTTTGGCAAAAACAATTACTTTATTTAGTGTTGAAACACTAGAATAAATAACCAATTTGGGTAAAGGACTTTGAGGAATATCTCCAGTTTTTATTGGGGGGCGAGGGGTGGCAAGTAAAGCAACTTTGAGATAAAACACTTCTCAAGTCAAATTTTCTTTGTGTTGTTACAAAGGCTGGCACTACCTCTCTAAGAATGCTATGTTGCATGCTGAAACATAATGTAGAATGGTATTGAAACGTTAAGGAGCTGTCAACCTGACAAAAGCCCAGAGGGACTTTAAAACAATTTGAAAGACCGGTGGAATGGGGTCTTAGTACAAAAAGCCTCTGGCAGTTTCTGCTTTCTTGGTTGGCCCGGTATATTTTTTAACAAAACAGAAAATGTGAGCATTTCTTAGGTGCACTGGCCTCAACTCTTTCCTAGCAGATCTGCTGGAGTGGTTGGAGGAACCTTACAAATCTGAAGACCACCTAAAGAAGCCTTCATCAGATATTTAACAGGAATAACTAATGTAAAGTTCAAAATACTTGGTTTAGGGCCAGTGGTAGGAATAAAGTCAAGAAAGTAAAATACTTGGACTTAATGTGGAACTTTCCTAACTTCTACTTGCTATATATTTCTGTGTCGTAAAGTGGTACATACAGCTTGGATTATGAACTCCTTCCTTTTGACTTCTTGAAAGAGGCAGTGAAGACAGAGAACAATGCTTTTATCTAAACAAACAAAGAAAAAACCCACCCCTCCACCCCAGCCAAAAACCAGAAAACCGAAACACCAAACTAACTTATTCTGAAGTAACATTTTCCATTGTTGTCAATTGCTTTAGCATAGTGGTCTGGCTCTCCTGTCCCCCCAGTGCTTCAGTAATAATATGTGATAAAGCAGTCGTAAACTTAGTGCTTATTTGGGGGGTACTAAGGGTGTGGGGTTTTTTTGTTAATGTAACACTTTATTGCAAAGACTTTGATAAAACTTTATTTAGCTGTATTCTTGAAACTTAGTTGTTTAGTACACTGTGTGTGGGAAAACTAGTGCCCATGGTGAGTTTTATAGGCTGGAGAGAATATCTGAGTGGTCAGTAAGCTGTGTTCTAGTGGGAGTTGTAGAGATATACCTACTCTCCTACAGTGTCCTTAAGGACTCTATTTTAATGAGAAGCAGTGAAGTTGGAGGATGAAAGTGTGGTTCTTGGTGGTTTCCCTTTTTTTTTCCCCCTTCCTTCCTTCCTGTAATCTTGTTGTATTGTCCTACAAGAAGATGCCAGTCTCCAACTTACTAGCCCTCTAAGCCTTCCTTCTGACTTGTTGACCTAACTCAGCTTGAACTAGGAAGTTCAGAGATGTGTCTCATGTGGCAGCTAAGTGTTGCGTTGTGTTATTTCCTTCACATTTTATGAAAAATGAAGGATGGGGATTTAGCTTGAGGAGATCAAAGGTATGCTTATTTTCCCACTCTAGTCATAGAGCATGAAGATGCCAATAAGAACAGGCTAAAAGTTAGGAAAATGATCCTGAACATTGAGAGGCAGATGGTCTAGGCTAAGCCTGCAGTGTATTGTTCTAAGCAGAAAGTTAAGACACTGTGCTGGTTTTCTGGGGAGGGTGGAATATTTAGGAATACCCATCACTGAGGCATTTAGGAGTGAATTGACTAGTTCGTTATTTTTAGTTGTTTTTGTCTTGCTTTCTGCTAATAAAATTTCTGTTTAATCAACAGAGATGCTGTTCAGTTAAATGTGACTGCTACACAACAGCTCCTCTTCTTGGCACAGCGAATGAAGAATCTGGAAGTGTTCATGCACATTTCTACTGCCTATGCATATTGCAATCGAAAACACATTGAGGAAATAGTTTATCCACCTCCTGTTGATCCCAGGAAACTGATTGATTCTCTTGAGTATGTGTTATGTTTTGTGAAGCTACTTCAGTAATCTGTAACCACTTGTTTCCTAGCAATGAAGTACCAAAAAAATGGTTAGGAACCTGAAAGATGAAGAAATTAGCTTATGCTGTCCTCTAAGTCTGACAACATGGCTTGACACTTCCCTTTTCTGTCAAAGGACATGGGCTAAAGTTTTATGGTTGCTTTCAGCTGAGCTAGGTGTGGAGTGGTACTGAAGGAGAGGGATACTCATACCTACTCATGATGCCTCCTGTATGCTGTGTGGCAGTCTTTCAGCTGTATGATGAGCTGAATCATGAGCTATTAAAAACAAAAAAAGCTGTGCTGTTACAAGTGTGCTAGCACCGGCATTGTGAAGGAAAGGGATAAAACCAAGACAGTCCACTTTAACAGCAGTCTTCACTACATCTACCTGAACACCTTTGCAAGATTAGACTGACATACTGAAATAAAATTACTTAATTGCTCAGAAACACAACTGTAGAAGTAGTTCCGTTAGGTGTTCAGAGAGTGCAAACATGAAAAATCTGTTTTCTGTAGCTTTTTAGTGTTGAATTGGGCATTACTGGGGGCGGCGGGGGAATTGCTCATTATATTTTATTTTCTGTGTATATTAGCTGTCCTGAGGTCTTATTTAGTAGCCGTCAAACCCTAACTGAAACAGGTGGAAGATATGGGATAAGTCAAGTGTGATGTAATAAATAATAATCTCAACTCTTAAACGGTCTTTCCCTTCTTCCCTGTCATACAAAATATCACGCCTTGTAAGAGAAGTATGAAACTAAAAATAACTAATTAAAAAATATTTTTCTAACTTGTTACTATGAATGGAAGAGCACTAACATTAAAAACAAATGAGCCACTACCTAGAATGCCCATTGAGCCAACCTTTTTTTTAAATGTTGACTTTAAATACACTTTCAAATGAGATATTCTGAAATAATGATATTTTTTGTCTATCTCTTCAAAAGCAGGATAAATACAACTTAAGCTGCTTGGTTTGGGCTTGGACAGCTGTTTGTATTTTAGAACTCATGGCAATGTGGGAAGGCTGTTGTACACTTGTGCAAGAGTCATCTCTCTAGCCTACAGCTGACTGAGACATAGAAACAGATTTGTGTCTCTTTCAGGGCTTTTCTACCCCTTTTCCCTGCCCTATTCATATCATGAAGGGAGTCTGATGCATGTCAGCTTTGATTGTAAAAGAACATTGTTGAATAACATGAGTAACATGTTGATAACAAGATGTTGGGTGTTGCAGCAAATAAAATACAAGTCCTGTTTTTGAAGTGGGGAACACCAAAGTAGCAATAGTTCAAGAGGCACCTCTCTGTGGTGCTTGTGTGCTATGACTGAAAGTTATTACGATTTTAAATACAAACTGCTGAATGAATTGGGAAGCAAGATGAAATTGCAAGACTCAGTTTAGTTAAGGGGAGGAACATGGTGACCCAGCTTGTGTCAGAGGTGGTGTGTGATTGCTTAATAGCACAGAGGTGGAAGTGATGGTCGTAATGCAGCTGGGACTCCTTTGCAGTGGCATCATTTTCAAGATCACTTAATGCTACTGTAGGAGCAGCATGCCTGTGTCCAAAGACTAACTTGCTGTGTCTGCACTTCATGTTTGAGAACATAGTTGATAGAATTAGGATCCTTGTAAAGGAATGTACTGCATGCTCTGTAGTTGATGTGTAATAAATGAATTACTTGGGCAAAAAGTAAATAGCAGTATGCTTCTTTCAGTGGACACTGAACATGCAACCCCTCTCTCTTTTACTGAGAAACTTGTTTTCGTTTCAGCCTGTGTCCCTTTTCCTCTAAAGGAGGAAAAAAAGATCATGGTAACTGTAAGAACAAAAAAAAAAAAAAAATTATATTTAACAAAGTTCATAAATGTGCTTACCTTCTACAGTATACCATACAAAAGTTCCAAAACACTTGGAACTGGGCACATGTTCTGGTGAAAGATTCCCCCCCCCTTGGCATTTACTGTCAAATGTTTAGGTTCTATGGTTTAATTTGAAAGAAAGTGGTCATGAAGTCAGTATAAACAGTAAGTTGGTAGTAATGTCCTTAAACAAACCAGCCTAACTACACTGCAGCTCTAGGATCTCAATTATAACATTCTTCTTTAAGATCCCCTTTCAGAAGGATTCTACAGAGCCAGTTGCCACCTCAATTTAAATAGTAGTGTATAATCAAAATGAGTAATAGGCCGGGTCTATTAGACTGGGTTATTCTGGCCTCTGGGATTGGCCTTCAGTTTAAATAAGGAAAAACCCCTAACAGATTTTGATGAAAGGTATTTTAGGAGGCTATGTGGTTTTAAAGTTAAGTGCAGTATAAGCTGTCAGCAGACACTATTTGATATGCAAATGCTCATGGAAATGTTTTACAATTTCTAGCTGTTTAAAGTAGAAAAAAGTATGTGACATGGTAACTTGAAAATCAAGCTGAGATTTAAAGTGTACTAGTTTAGCATCAGATTCTGGGGTGGTTGCAGAAATATGAAATACAGAGCTGAGGTTTTAATTATTGCCTAAATTTCTTCACAGAATTACTTGTTCTCTGTGCTTACGTAGCGTTTTAGGGCGATGCTAATGCTTTGGTGTAGGTTTTTTGTTGAGTTTGTTTTTCTTTTCTATCTCAAGAAGAGATGGGTTTTTAATTTTACTTTCCAAAGTATTTTTGATTTATCTGGTTATCCTTTTTATGTATTGGCTTTGCCCCACCCTGGCAAAGCAGCATGCAGTAATTTATACTTACCTCTTATTTTGTTTCTTTAGGTGGATGGATGATGGCCTGGTGAATGATATTACTCCTAAACTGATAGGCGACAGACCTAATACTTATACATATACAAAAGCCTTAGCCGAATATGTAGTACAACAAGAAGGTGCAAAACTAAACACAGCCATTATAAGGCCATCTATTGTTGGTGCTAGCTGGAAGGAGCCTTTTCCTGTAAGTCATTGAGTTTTCACCTGACCATCTTGCCTGTAAACTGTAGTACATGCTCACAGGCTGTTTATCTGGTGACCTTCATGGAGGGAAGTCTGTTAGGCTATGAAGTTGTGGCTTGGTTGCTTCTGGGTAACAACTCTGATACAAAAGCTGTCAAATACAGTATTCTTATGTGTGAAATTGAGGGGTAAACTACTTTAATCGCAGAACAATACGCTTCTATCACAATGGGGGATACTATTTCACACATGAAATAAATTATCAGCTTTTTACTTCATGAGTTATCATTATGTGTATCATCTTCTGTTTTTCCCTCTTCAAGATACTTAGCAGTTAGTAGCTGCAAAGGGAGACTAAGAAAACTGGGGCTGCAGGACATAAAGACATTCTGGCTCAACTTCTTTTAGTTAAGCCCTGTCAGCTTTGCAGGGGATGGCATAAATTTTATGTACTGTATGCTATATTGATATATGCCATATGCTTTCCCCTGTATGGGAGATTGGTGTGGGAATAGCTTCTCCAGTTCAAAACTGAATGTCTCTAAGCCCTTAAAATCCATATAATAGACTTTGCATACCGTTTGATTATGTACAATGTACATGTCAAACCAATAAGTATATAGTGTCAAAACACTGTCATTAAAGTTTCTGTTTGAAAAATGGAAAAGCTAATAATAGATGGCAAAACTGCTTATCTGTTTTCTATGAGTTGCTTGAAGCTAGTCTGAAAATACTTGTAAACTTGAATACTTTCAACATAAACATGTTTATATGGACAATGTCCTGCATTTTATTCACTAAGAAATAAACAAGCTATCATCTCACTTTGAAGGACCAGTAAATCTATAGGTAGATCTCTTGTCTGACTCATAGCAACTTGTTACATCACCAGATTTTGCTATGGAAGAACTTAATTTAGAGACATGGAAATTAATATCTCTCTCCTCTTTTCCCTCTACCCCTTATACTTGTAGAAACTTCTCAGATTTTCACTTGAAACTGCTGACTTCAGCATACTCTAATCAAACCCTTTCCCTCCCCCCTGTTCATAATAGGGATGGATTGATAACTTCAATGGACCTAGTGGTCTCTTCATTGCTGTAAGTAATGAATATACTTAAATTTTTTTCCTCCTTTTGGAAGACAACAAAGCTCTGTATGTTTTACTGGTGGGTCTCCTGTCTCTTCTGTTGTTGTTGTTGTTTTGTTCTTTAAGGCAGGAAAAGGAATTCTTCGAACAATGAGAGCTTCCAACAATGCAGTAGCAGATCTTGTTCCAGTAGATGTTGTTGTCAATACGACACTGGCTGCAGCCTGGTATTCTGGAGTTAATAGGTATAACAGGTGACAATAGAGAGTACTAAGTATTTTGAAATTATATTGTGTGCTTTAATGAATCAGTCTTCTACTGAACTTCTAATCAGTGTCCTGCTATTCCCCCGGGACAAAGGAATCTAAGGTTCTAACAGTGTTAGTCCCTCAAAGTGTAATTTCCTTATGCCTAAGAGCAAGACATCACCTACTGATACTGTTGTACAAGCTATGCCTGAAAATTCCTTCTTGGGTCTCGTCGTAATCCATATAATCTCCAGTAATGTAGGTGATGCCTAACTCTCTATGATAGTTAAAGAAGGAGAAAAATAATGGAAGATGATACAGAAAGCAAAAAAACTAACATGAGACTGATGCTTTCTGCTTTATGTGAATGATGTTGTTGAGGAAAAGGATAACTTTGGGTACGCCTTTTGTCTGTGTTTTTAAAAGGTTGTTTGTCTTCTAACTTGCTCTTTTTTTTTCTTCCCACCCCCCTCCCCAGACCAAGAAATGTCATGATATATAACTGTACAACAGGTGGCACCAATCCTTTCCACTGGGGTGAAGTTGGTATGCCATATTTCTCTCTTTCATAATCATTAATAGAAAAATAAGGTCAAATAATAAAAGCACAGGCTATAATCAGTAGGTTATATTGCATTTTTATTGCTAAAACTAGTATAATAGCCATACCTCTCAATTTTGCAGTGCATTGTGCTTTTTCATTATCTTTCATTGTTAATTCTCTTCCCTTGCAGCATTATCACCATTTCATTTTGTTCTTGTTTTTTTTTATTCCATTATAACTCAAACTATGGGAGAATTGATTTTTCTGTTTGCTGCCATGACCTAATCTGCA